CAAATTTTGCTTAGGAAGTTGGATATTTATTTTAGCAATAGCACGCAAGTGTATAAACGCATTTTTTATAGGTTTTCGAATATGACCTCTCCAATAGTGAGGTTTTCGAAATGTAAAAATATTTTTTATGGGTTTTCCAGAGATCCGGTCTCTAGAAAACCCACAAGGAATCACTTCTGAGTTCTGAAAATCTCATCATTAGAAAGAGCATATTCGAAAACCAATAGAAAAACATGTTTATAGGCTTTCATACCAGTTCTACAGCATATGTCCGCCTGCTCCATAGAAAAATGCCCACTGTGTACCGTCCTATCAAAAATGTGATTTAAAAATCCTTTCTTGTCTCCAAAAGTTTCAAAAGTCCAAAACTGGGGATTTCTCGATCATAATGTGGTAAAAAGGACGAGATTATAACGGACAGCCATTACTGAACAAAATGCGCTAGTTTCAACATCTCTATTAGTCAGAAATGTTATCAAGCGTTTCGTATGTGAATCGAGTAGACCAAACATTTGACCAAACATTGAAAATGACGCAACAATGAGCCTAATTGGTTCAGTTCTGTCTGAGCCATAGTCATTTTACAAATAGCCCCAAAATGCAGGTTGAAAAGCTGAAAAAACGGTCATAGAGCTTTTGCAAAAAAACATCACTGGAAACACAGAAATAACGATAGAAAATCCGCATTATAGCTAATCGATAGAGAATTTGAAGAGCTACATTCTGGCCTACTTGTTCTAGACACAAGGCATACGCTCAACTTCATACTGACGAAATACATCTTTTTGTGTTAAATTTTTTAAGATTTACGGACATTGCGATATTTGTTCAATTAAGACAGCGTCTCAAACCTTAGAGTCATCTTCTATAAACCAGTTTGTAGAGAAATGAATGGGGAATCTTTTGGTAATGAGATGAGCTCTGTGAGTTGAAAAGGAGAGGAGGAAAACTGAAAATAAAAACTACGTCATTCTTTCTGTAACACCCGTTAATAAGGCCAAAGAGAGTACATATATTACCTATAATCAATTAGCACAGTTAATGTGTACTTTGATGTGTTTATATAAGAGCTAATAAAACGTAATCTATAGAAAAAATTCAATAAAATGTACAAAAAAAGATATAGTTATATATTTTTTCTCTTATACAAACATCACCGAGGAATGCTTTACATTATTCTACTATTGCTGCGAATGATTCGGTAGTCAGTTTGACGGCTTCTCAGAGTGGAAAACTTTTATCGCTGAGTTATTGAATTTGCATGTGGTGCGTCATTTTTTCTAGTTTGAAGATATGTCTTGCGCCTCAGAGCACCACAAAAACGACGGCAAGATCTCATTTCATAGGACCTTCGTTTCTGGAACGATTTTGAGTCGGAAAACTTGTTCAGTGGTTTTTTCTAGAAAGCTTTTTTCGGAGAACCCTGCAGAAAAAAGTTAAAACTAAAGATTTTATATAAAAGGCACGTGGCATTTTTGGAATGAAACCTTATTGATGGAGGAAAAGTGGAATTTTTCCACAATGTAACTAAACGACTATAACGGATGTATAAGATTTTCCTGACTGCTTGGGGGCTAGAATAACGCAAAAAAAGCGGCTTTATAATCTAATTAAAAAAACTGGGATAACCTTATTGATTTAGAAAACGATTCGAGAACAGTTTAAAGATTTCACTCCCGTGCATTCTTAATTCCAAAAATCTTAAACCGAGAGTTCTGTATTTAGTTTTCAATGCTGAATCGGTATAAATTGATTTCCAAGGCTCTAAGTATTCGTATAGCGGAGAAATTGAGTTTCCGTTCAAAATTTAGGCAGATTTCACAAATTTTTAAGCTTTCAATATTGTCTGAAGCATAATCAAAAGCCACTTTTTCTCTAGGCAACTCAATGCGCGCTCTATTCTGTCGCGAGTGAGTATTGTGAAAAGTACACAAACATGTATCCGTGCCTATTGGAAGGGTACTCGGACGCAAAGTACAAGTTTTTTTGTTTATTTTATTGTCATGAAACACCCTTTATTATAAAACACAATCAGAAAGCCTCGTGATGATGATAACAATAATAACAGGTGTAGGCAAAATAAATGCATTTAGTAACTTTCGAAAGTGTATATTGATGACTACTTTTTCTTTTTGTCTAATACAATAAACGTTGGTTCATCATCACACCTCTCTCCGATCTGGATGAATAGGTTTCTTTCTAACTGTTTTCTGAATAATCACCACCCTAACTTATAAAGACAAGCAGGTAGAACGATAGTTATTTTCATTCTTGGCAGAAGTTAGGACTAACAATGGCTGGCTTATTCGGTAATATTGGTGCTTCTTTTATTGACAATGCTGCTGATCGTTTTGTTGATAATTTTATACCAGGAAATGGTAAGCTACTGTAGCTTATTTTCTTGCCTTTGAAGTTTAAAGTTCTGCTTTTTCATTAAAGGTTATTTTGGTGGTGTTGCCCAAACTGGTGTTAACCAATGGGTGAATAATGATATAAATTCAAACTTATTCGGCGGAGGAGCTTTGGGTAGTGGAGGGTATGGTTATGGAGGATATCCGGGAGGCGGATTTGGAGGAGGATATGGTGGAAATTATGGCGGATATGGAGGATATGGAGGTGGAGGTGGATTCGGTGGAGGATACGGTGGTGGATTTTGGTAAAGATCAATGCTCTAAAATCTGAACTGAAACATTGTTTAATTCATTTGTACAAAGACTCTAATGATCCTGTAATATAGTTTGTCTTTGTCTAATAAATTTCCACGAGGAAAAACAAAAGACTAAACACAAGCTGTTTCGGAATGTCGGCAACCTTGAAGCGACTTGTAAGATCAAAGTTAAAGTTGAGTGCTACTACGTTTTCTGCCTTGCAGTTGTAAGGACAGTATTTCTCAAGAGAGTATCTTACAATTTATCTAAAACTCTCTTTTTCAAGCTAGTCTTGGATCACTTACATTCATTTTCTGTCATGCTTTTTCTATATGCCTTTTCCGGATAAATCTTTTTTTCAAGAAAAATCTAGAATGTGTTTGACAAACATCTTCGTTTTCTAAAATTTTCATCCAAATTCAAGTGGGTGACCGAAAACTGCACTGAACTAGTCTGATCAGACTGGAGGTGTACCGGGTCAAGCTTTTAGTACAGGTTCCATTTTATCGAGCTTTTAGTTGCAGAAAAATTTTCTTTTCTCTGGTAAAATCAAAGGTAGGTAAGTCTGACCGTTTTCAAGTCCCAGTCAAGTGCTGATGTGATAATATCCTGAAGAACGCTGCCACGTGTGATCAACTATTCTTACAATCGAAGCGATGTAATGATTTAAAAAGATTTATTCTGCGAGATAAATTCTCTCTCGTAAAGGCTTTTGCCCATGAGACGCACATTAGAACCTTTGCAGTCATACAAAAGTGCTCATGTGATGCACATAAACATGTGGCTGCTTGTTTCTACATGCGCATGCACAATCATGAGAGAAGGCGAATGCAAAAAAGCCTTCCATTACAGTTCCCGTTCTCGTTCCAGCTATGAAGTAATTATGCTCTAGGTTCGTAAATCCACTTGGATTAGCATGATTTACGACAACTTGATTAAATGTTTAATTAACGTTTAGCTTTGCGCTCTGTGATCTTTTCTTGAACTTTATCAGTGCCACGTTTAACTGTATTCATCTGGATGACTTATTAACAATGATACTTTTGTGACAAATTTCCTATTCTTGTATTAATGTGCGAGTAGTAAGCAACGCTTGACTGAATTGTCATGTGCATCTATTAGCAATTAAAATCTTAAAACACATGCAACAGAAACATCTTAATAATCCACCACGTGGACTCTGTTTGTAAAAGTGGTTGTAGATTGACATCAGTTTAAATAATGACACAAACCGGATCTCTCTATCATTTTACACAGTTGAGATATTTTTATCTTACTGAAACCGATTTCTTATGCTCCAATCGCTATTTCTGCTTCGGGACTAGTTTTTGAAACTTCATGGCTCACGAGGGAACATTTTTAAGTGCCTCCTCGCTTTATTAACGACGATAACCCACCATCTTTCGTTGCAAAAGCGAGGGGCATTTAAAAAAGTTCTTTCGTCAGTAACTTTTCCCCTAGTATCATAGTTTTATGAAAGTTTCATATCCAGTGTGAAGTTTCGTATCAGCAATTAACCGAGAAAGTTACAGGTGTTGGATCCTTTACAATCATTAGATTTAATATACGATATTCTATTTATAAATAATGTTAACATCGGCATCGGTTTCAGTAAGATTAAAGTATCACAGCTGTGTAAAGTGACAGAGAGATCGACTTTGTGTCATTATTTAAGCTGATGTCCGCTACAACCACTTTTACAAACAGAGTCCACATGGTGGATTATTAAGATTTTTCTCTTGCATGTGTTTCAAGAAGGTTTTAATCACTAATAGATGCACATGACGGTTCAGTGAAGCGTTGCTTGCCCATGACCCCAGGCACATGTGCCATGTAATCAATGATGAGTCGTCATTTTTGAATTTTAGAGCTGTTTTTCAAATATATTTTCGGCATGTTATGTAATATTCTTCCAATTGGCAGAAATGTCTGTGACACTCTACCAACTGGACTTCCTAACTTACGGGAGGGAAATTTTTCTAACTAAACTTAGAGAATTCTTTTTATTCTCTGAACGTTTTCTCTATGTATAGTCGAAGAAGAAGAAACTAACTAACTAGTATAACAAAGAAGTTCACATACAAAGAGGAGGAGAAAGCATATATTCATTTCTTCTATTAACAATGAAGAATTGTCTATTGTAAATATAGGTCATTTTAATCCTTTTTCATATCTTCGTTGCTCCATAAGCCAGCCAACTATTTTCTTTTGACAAAAGAAAATGAATAATCTAACAATATGTACATACATAGTTTTGAGTGGTAGAGAAAAAGAGTTTAATATTGGTTTAATTTGAAGAGAGTCTTTGTTATTGTTTCTGCTGTTGATGTTTTCTCTTCTTCTTTGGTTGCGTTGTTGTTTGACATATTGTATTGGCAGAATGTCACATGATATTCTACCAACTGGCAAAAAATTATTATAATTGGCAGAGTGTCAGAGGCGGTTCTGCCAATTGACAGAACGTCATTGGCAGCCCGGGAGAGATCCGTATTGGGGTATGAAAAGATAAAATTGAGATTTTTTAACTTCATAGGGAAAACCGAATTTTTGCATATAAAAAACTTTTTAATCAAAACTTAATGGCATATTCACTGCTTTATATATATGAAATTGTAGCGCGAGAAATTCTCTATCGATTGGTATATCTATCGTAGTGGCTAAGTGATAAAGCGTGTCATAGATTATCTTAGACTTTTTGCCCGTAGAAGATTATTTTCCATAACCTAAAGTATTTCTAAACATACTTGGCTTCAGAACGACTATTTTTGTATACGTGATATACAGAAATATAGCGCAGAAAAGAGCTATTGAGTAACATATAATAGTTCTAGTGAGGTATGAAGCCGAGAGAGCCACACTCGAAAATATGATCAATAATACGTATCAGAAGGAGGAGGACTTTGATTACAGTTAATTGAACCCAACGTTTTCTGAGAGCAATTCTAAGGTCTGCCAAGTGCCTAGAAATGTTCGCCTGTTCATTCTGCATCTAACCATGTATGTGTCGATGGAATTCAAGCAGGGGCCGAGTCCATCAAATAATCGTCCCCGCCCTTAAATTTTTGTTATACACATGTATATTTTGTACTGTTGAACAATCAAACATATTCCTTAATAATTTTTAAATAGAGTTTTTACGAATCACTTTATTCTTTTCCAAAAGCATCTCAGTTTCAAGTACAAAAAACTGCAAACTCGGCAAAATTCATGAAGCAAATCGTCACAGTCATACGATGTTACTCCAGTTTTCATTTCATATGATAGAGAACAATCTCTTCTACAAGTTCTCCATTAGTCATTGGTGTAAAGTCGGTCTCTATTTGCAGATGACAGTTAAAGTCCGACTTTTACACAGACCAACCATAGTTACTCCCAAGTGCCTTTTTTAACAAAACCCACATTCTCGTAATTTCCAGTTAATTAATAAGCAGTAAGCCCAAATATCATGCCATTCATATAGATGGTACAACTTAAAGTTTCCTACAAGATGATATCATTTTTAATTAATTTTCTTGAAATCTCCGGTTGAAACTAACCTGTTTAAGTAGCCATTTTTTGCTTTATTGACCATTATGGTCAATCGAAAGATGTTCTCGAGGAGGGTCACATTTTCTGAGACTTGCCTGCCTCTCTTCTTATTTTAACGTCGAAGAACTTCAATATAAATGCCGACATGGGTAATCAATCATGCTGAACATTGTGGAGATGTTTAGTTTCATGTCCAACGTAATGAAGGCATTAGCAAAATGTTTATGAAATCATGTTTTTGACAGCTATCAACAGTTTTTAATGGAATGGTATTTATTGACATGTCTTTTCGTAGAAAACGAAGTGGCAGAAAATCACAAATCATTTGTTGTTATTTGAGAAAAAGCGTTCGTAACGCATGTTAACTCAAAAGGCGGAAACTTATTTTGTGTTAGTGAGTGAGAGCGATAAGACAAGTGAAGATCTTTTTTCTCGAGCAGATGATAATCCAAATAGTGAAAGTAAATATTTGTAAGAAAAAGCACATATCTGGTATTTGTTCCTGATAGATATGTTTTGACGGATGTCTGTGTATCAATATAGGGTTAATAATCTTTAGTCAGTAACGAGGACTGTCTTCACAATATCGATGGATAGATATGTTCTCACGAACTTCTGGTGCAGTTCTTTAAAAAAGACTTATTTGAAATGATCTATCTGTTCGTTGCTTCATTTTTCCGTCTTCTCTTCAAAGTAGAAATGCTTTTAGTGAGCATTCTCTGTTATTTATTAATATTAACTTTACCAATCGATGGCTACTTCTACCTGTATGATACATTCGATGGTAATACAGAAAACTACTTTGGTTATTACGATTGCATTTATTCTCATTCAAAACTACGAGAAAATACGAATATGAAAATGAATAATATAAATAATATTTATTCGGCTGTTCCCTATTATATTCGATCATTAACAAGATTAATTTCTCAACAACAATTATGTTATGGAAATGAGATCCGATTTAGTGACTTAAAACTGTTAAACATCACAATCCAGAATTTGTATGTATGGCATTCGCCAATAGAAATACTGAATAATTATGGAAAATATCTTGTAGCACCCGATGGGAGTAGTGTTAATGATGAACAAATCTATTGTAATTGTAGTAATAATTCATGGTTTGGTTTACATTGTCAATACACATTTGATTCGACTTCTACACTGAAAAAGATGAAAGAATAACATATTGTCCAAAATATTATCCATATGAATTAACATGTCGTTATCACTGTCTAAATAGTAGCGAATGTATTCATCATAAAGAAATTTGTGATGGCATAAGTGATTGTTTATATAATGATGATGAGACCGTTTGTCCATAGGTATAGTACTTTAAGGCTGTTCAAGTTTAGAGCAACGAGACTAATGAGAATAGTGAACAAAGTTTGATCAGATAAGAGGAGTTAAAAATATTTGTGTCATAAGAATGTCCTTAAAGTAGAGGCTTAGGAGGTCCAATGCAACGTGTTTAAATGGACACATTTGCTTGTAGAAAAATAACAGCAGGTAATAATACATGTGTAAAACAATCAGAACGTTGTGATGGTATAAATAAATGTATCTGTGCTGATGAAGATGAATGGTTTTGTGATTTAATTCAAAAAAATGTGTATAAATATTTTACATTTGATGGTTTAAATCAATATCCATCACTCTTTACTAATTATGATGAGACAACAAAAGAACCTAACACTACAAGCTGTTCAAGAAATATTCCGCTACATAGTAAAGAATGCGTTGATTGTATCTTTAAGCTTGACTTGCGTGAATTGAGCTACTATTGTAATCGTAGTATTCTTATTCAATCTAAAAATATACAAGGAATTACATGTTTTTGTTCACCAGCATATTATGGTAATATATGTCAATTTCAACATAAGCGTGTCTCCATTCACTTGCAAGTTGAAATATTCAAATTTTATTTATAGACTCAGTTTTATCAGAAAAATATACTACATTTATGAATATTTTTCATTTAATTGTACCATTTATTATTAATGTAGCATCGATAACTGTTTTTCTAGTTAGACAAACTAGTCAAAAATCAAATTCTTTCTTAACAATGAAAGGGTCTAAACAATCGTTTAATAGTGTGTTGAAGGAACAAATTATATTACATAAATCATTTATTATTAGTCCACTTATTTTGATTTGTCTTAGATTTTCACGTTTAGTTTTGACATTTGTATTTGCGTGTGTCGAATATCCATGGCAACGAAATATATATTTTGCTAGTTATCTAATATTATATATACCTTTAGTGGGAACATTATTCATTTACATTTTACGTTCACCAACATACAGGCAGGAGTTATCAAATATTTTGATAAATCTAAAGAGGTCTTTTACGGAAAAAAAGAATATAAAAAGATGTTCAGCTTCAGAAGTATAAAATGCTGTATAGAGGAAAATTTAGAATACGGTAAGAAGTCCAAGACTTGTTATCAGGGCTTTTTTCTCATCATAATTCTAAAAAGTTTACCTCGATATATTTGCTGAAAATGAAGCTCAAGCCTTACTGATGACTACTGAATGCTTTTTGTGTAGAAAGCTACATTAATGACGTGACTAGAAATGAGACGTATTTCGGATCATTCCTCAACCATTTGTTTCGAAACTTTCCCCTGTGAATGAGATTGGAGATACTTAATCATTGGTTCTCTAGTATTTTTATTGTGTATGTTTCTGATCTGTCAATATTTTGGTTTATGTACAGTGATTTTCTTCGCTGTAATTAATGGATTTGATTTATTATTTTGATTTCTTTACATTTTACTTTTCGTAAATGAGTGTTAGTTGTAAAAGGCATCATATTCTTGCTAGACATTTTTGACTGTTTTCTTCTAAAATCTCTCGTTTTTTAAACAGAAAAATATCATATACAGTTTATTTTATGTCATGTGACTTTTCGTTCGTGTATCGTCTTCTAAGTGATCATATTTGTTTCAAACGGCTACGTCTCAAAAGAGATACATTATATATTCTCAAAAGAGATACAAATCCATATTTTACAATGTATCTGTTTTAATCAATTAAAAAGTATCTCTTTTGAGAAACGAATATT